TGAAATGATACACAGACCAAAGCAGTCAATTGAGGATAGATTTCATAGGATCCTTTTAATATATATGTTCACTAACAGGTTAAAAGGTAAAAGGTGATCTAATTGTCTAATTAAGGGGTTTCAGATAATTAAATGATTTGACAAGTTGGATAAAATTTCCCTCTGAGGTTGGTATGAGGGAGTACTATATCATTAAAGAAAGGTTGTAGAGATTTAAACCTCTCCCTCAAAAAGCTTTTGCAGGTCTTGCAGAGTCCCCATGGTAGCACATTCCTAAGGAATTGTCTGAGAAATTGGAAATTCCGTTGGCCAATCCCTCTACCCCTGGAACACTTCGAAACTGTCCATTTATATCAGAGAATTCAGAGGGATTCAAATGAAATTAAGTGAGACAGTTTCTCAGAGAATGTTTAGTCTATTAAATACAGGGTCTAACTCCTGAGTAACTATTCAACAGATCCTATTCTTAACACACCCTCAACTACACCACCACCCCAATACCCGTTAAACCCCTCAGCCCGATTTGAACTTCACTCCCCCCACCCCAAAATCATTCTGCTCTCAATCCTACCCCTTACCCTACCACCTGACACACACACCCCACTCACAACGACCAGACCCGACTACCCTAGCAACTCTTCCTATAGCAGGGAGATTCTCAGCAGTTCTGGAAGTGTTTGTAAAGAGAAAAAGTTACAAGTCCAACATGACTGTTCAGGACTTTTATACATCCCTTTGCTTCCCTACCCCATTCAGACAATTACTTTTTGAGATTATATGACCTCTTCCCACTAAAGTGTACCATCTCCAACCTATCTATATTGAAGTTAATTTGTCAATTACATAATAAACCAAAAGAACTGTGTATGCTTGAAATCAAACATTAACAGAAATTGCTGGAAAAGCTCAGCAGGTCTAGCACCATCTGTGGAGAGAAATCAGAGTTAACATTTCAGGTCCAGTGACCCTTCTTCAGAACCCAATTTGTCAATTACATACCCATTCTACAAGTTCATTAATATCTTCATATATTCTGTTAGAGCATACAGAAGTATTAATTATTTCCTTAGCTTGCTGCCAATAAAGGTATTAAGGGAATATGTAACTATTATTGCAATTGATTTTTTTTATCATCTTAAACAGCAATGATCTTATTGAGTAGCAAAACAAACTTATGGGGATGAATTGCCTGCAGCTGTTCCAGTGTTTTTATAAGTCACTACACTGCAATTTACTAGTTACTACAAAATAATCTCAGTGAACATAAATTACATGCAAGTTGAACATTTGCATCAGTATTTATGATTATCTCAAATTTAAAGCTACAGATGTATTGTGATGCTTTCAGGGACTTCCTACTTTGAGAAGTTACAGAAAGAATTGTGCTGCATATAATTTCATAGAAAACAATGAGCAGAATCACTGTTATTACCGATGGCTAAATATTCAACATTATCACAAACATTGTGTGGTTACTTTAGGCATTTCACCACCATCCCATTCAGAGATGTTCATAATTCACACTTTCCTGTATTGTGCAGAAGATGCTAGTCAATGTTCTTAAGTAAACTGTCTAATCCATATTCAGAACAAAACACAACTTGCATTGGTCTTACAGAGTTTACAGGACATTGACATAGGCAAGTAGATTCTTGCTCTCACTAGCGGTACCTCAAAATCATGTACTTTCATGAGAAAGCTGTGGACAGGTACAAATTAACTAATCCATTAAGCCTACACCACATTCCACCATCTGTAGGATTCCCTCCAAGTTATACACCATCTTGATTTGGAACCGAATTACCAGTCCTCCACTGTTACTGTGTCAAAATCCTGGTACTCTCTCTTCGACTATATTACAAATCAACCCATGGCCTGCAGCAGTTCAAGAAGATGGTTCAAAAATAAATTCCCAAGGGTATTTTGGGGGTAGGCAATAAATGGCGACTTTGTTAGTGATGCCTATTCTATTGGAAAATCTGGATACATCCAAGTTGTTACGAACATAGTGAATAGTTGTGGCTTCGACACGTCCTTGTAATATATCAAAGTGACATCCTACCATTATCCTTACTCATGGAATCCTGGTGCTTAGCTAATTTAATAACCAGGATAGTTATTTACCTTCAATTTCACAAGGTTCATTTTTTAAGCAATCTGTGAGGGACTTTACCAAAATTCTTTAAGTCTTTTAAACTTCAAAGAAATAATATGCATATGCAATCCTCAGGCCATTACATGAGGAACCTTCACTTTTCTCAATCTACATAAAAGTCAAAATCCCCATCTTCTTAAAAATTATTCTGCCATTGTTAAACGCTTGTCAAAGCTCAGCATTTATAGAGGCTCCTGTTTGCTAGATCATTTTTTGCATAGAGAAGATTGGTAGTTTTTCCTTGGATTTTAAAGTACTTTGCAGATTGAATCAGTACTTCTTTAGCTAAATAGACTTGGCTCTCTCCAAAATACTAACCAGTACACCAGCCTTCAGGAGAATTAGTCGTTTCAGTCTGTGTTACCACTGCCTTAAGTCTCTTTGCACCTTGATGTTGCTGGCTGAAATTGGATGATCTGTGACAGGTTAGCCAGTCAGCTCATGCGGTTAATTTTCTTCCAATAAAAAGTCATGCAGATACAGATCTATTGAAATCCATTATAACCAACAAATAATTGGCCAAAGCCAAAAGTTACTGCTTGCTCAGAGGAATCTGGTAGCGAGCTGCTGACTTTAACTACTGCAGTCTGTATAATGAAAAAAAAAATGTAATGTAATGGCTGTTCCAGGGTTTTGACCTAACAACAATTAAGGTATGTGACTTGAAAGACAATTTGCAGGCAGTGGCTTTCCCATATACCTGTTATCCTTGTCCTTCAAAACAGCTGAATCACTTAAATATCAACATACAGAAAGAACTTGTATTCCACTGAAGTACAACTACAGAATATCCACAGCACGTCACTGGGAAACAGTGACTCCATTCAATGTGATTATCAACCATTACAGCCCACATTACTTAAGGTTTTGCATCATATTAGTGAAGTGACTACCATGGCTGTCTCCTTCATTCAGATATTACACAAAAGGAGAAGTGAAACAGATATAATTAAGGCCCATGCAACCACAAGATCTGCACATTTTAGGCATCCTGATGCTTTGTTTAGGAACATTGATAATGCACTATGGTGACTCTGGCTGAACCTATGTTATTGTGAATAATTCATGAAATGTATTACAACGAAAGGCTTGCTGCTTCCTCAACTTGAAAGTGCCTGGAAAAAAAAGAGACTACACAAAGTGGAACAGGAGGCAGCTGCCAACAAAAGGACACCACAGCTGATAGTTCAGTGCTTTTATATCAACATTTGTATTTATTTGCACCTCCAACATTCTGAAATGACCCAAGGAGAGTTATTTAGCTTGATGTCAAATACTGTCATTTAAGACTGTTTGAGAGCAGAATGCCAAAAGCTTGGTCAAAGAGGTTGTGCTTTTTAAGACTTTTGTTAAAAGACTAAACAGTAGACAGGCAATGAGGTTTAAGGGAAGAATTCTTGTTCCAAGTGTCGAAGTAGTTGCAAGTATGACATCCATTAGTGGGGTAATTAAAATCATGGATCTCATAAGACCAGAATTAAAGCTTGTTAAGGTGGAGGAATTTACAGAAATAGAGAATTGCACAGGCAAGGAGGAATTAAAAGGCCAAGGAGAAAAATGTTACAATCAAATCATTGCTGAACTGATGATGTGTATGTGATCAGGCCTTGTTGTGAATAAGGCCATAGGCAGTAGAGCAACATTATAGAGAACAGTGTAGGCAGTTGCCCTGTACTGCATTGTAATAAGTGAGTGTAACGACAACAAAGGCATGCATAACAGGTTGAATAGCAGATGAGCTGAAGCAGAGTTGAAATCAGAAACTGTCAATGAACGACAAAGAGACAATCATACTCACTGTATAGACACTCACTTTTGTCAAATGTGATACCAAGGTTTTGAAAAATCTGGTTTGGGCTCAAAACAGTTACCAGGGAGAACTGCAGAATTAATAGCTACAGAACAGAGTTTGTAATGGAAACTTAGATCCAACAAACGGGCTCATGAATTAGTGACAGTGTAGTCACAGAAAGTTGCTGAAGAGGAACTGGAAGTCTTTCGGATTGATGTGAAAACTGATGCTATGTTTTCAGACAATATCACCATTACACAGCATGCAGATGAAGTAGAGGGGCAAAGGATAGATCCTTGGAAATGCACCAACGGTAATGATGCAGAAACCGAGAAGCATAACAAGTGTTACAACCATATGGGCTAGGAATTGAAGCAGTCTCTCCCAGCCAGATGAGATTTCTTTAGTAAAAAGAGGAAGAAAAATCAGCACACAAATAATTGCCCTGTTCACTTTCTCTCCCCTCACTATTGTACTTAGATTTCTACCAAAGCTCTACCTAAAAGTTTTTCCTTTTATACAGATATGCTTTCACAAGTATCTGCTAATTTGGCAAGCACCAGATCATAGTATCAGAATGTATTGAATAATAATTATTTCTTCATTACATGTTTGTTTTAGAATATTCTGGACGTACCTAAGTGATTGCCTTCAATTGGAGAACAACATAATACTATGATTTTAAATTAATCCTGAATTAGCCAATATTTTCTCAGTTCAAGAAAGGAGAATATAGTGGTAACACAAACAGGTACTTAGAACAAAAAAGCTTTGAGATGAACATATCACCAACTTCTTTCTGTTGTTCACAATATCAAGGCAGTAAAAAAGGATGCTGCACATGGATTCTGAATTGCCTTTGCCATACTATTCAACCTAGAGTTAACAAATTATCAGGCCACTAGTTATTAAATTCATATGCTTCAACTTTGAGAATAGCAATATGTTTGAAATTCATACACTGACACTTCCTTCCTCAGAAAATTAGGCATATCACTGCTTTGTTTCCATTATGCACAAGAATGTAAGAACTGGAATCCGAGCAATGTTGCCCTTTTATTTGATCAATTAGAATTCACATCGGGAACAAGGTAAGAAATCATAGACAAATGGCAAGAGCAAGTTTTTATTCTTACAATACAGATCATCTTTTCAGTACTGTGGACAATTAAACCTTCAATAAAAGTATACAAAGATACTTCAGTTAAGTATTCCCTCAGTGTATATATATACACACATATACACACCAAAAATATTTTCTTTCATTATTAAAAATTGTTAATACATTTGAATGTACTTTTTGGTCCACTTGGTTGAAACAACAGAACTTGCGGGAATTTTGTTTAGAAAGAAATAAATTCGAGCTACAAAAAAGTCTAAATTAGAATTTAACAATGCATCATACATCTAGACTTTAAAAAATAACTATTCTACCATAGATGCTTTATCTTTAACAACTACATTTGGTAGTATTCCAGTACTTGTGAAGTTAAAAATCATTGGCTAGTTGGCACAGATCTCAGTGGTCACTGAATTGAGCTGCAGCACTTAAAAGATATCCATCCAATATGATAATTTTTCAATTTGAAAGGTACTTTTAAGCCATGTTGCAATCTGTTGTAGGATATTTTGATGCCTTATAACAGAAGATGAATAGTCTATTATGTTGTAACATTGATTAATGTCCTGGTGTCAAAACAGGAATGCATTAAAGGGTAATACTTACATTTTATGGCAAGCTTAAACATTATTTTCTCAGAATTCAGAAGATATTTTAGAGAAAATCAAAAATTTTCTGCATTTTAAGCTTTCATTTTCTAGACATTATTGCTATCGTTGAAAATACTGAGTTCCTAAATTACAAAGTTCTAGTGTTGTGTTGAAGAACAGGATCATCTTACCTCGCGCAATATGTCCTCAGAATTCCAAATTTTACATTGGCATGGGAACTAAAGGAAATTAGATGCACTTAAGATGTGTTTCCTAAGGTAGTTAAATACCAGGCATGGTTTCATCATTTCATATATAATGTGAGTACAAACAGGCTGGAATCATATGCTGCAAAGAAAAAATGTAGAATCAAATCTGGCTTTGCAGAGTACCGAAACAAGTGGGATTTGGCACTGGTAAGAATTTGCTCAGGAGTTAATGGAAAATTTCAAAACTGTTCAAAAATAATTACGAGTCATATGTAGATGCAAAAGGCTGCAGATAAAATGTATGGCGTGAATGGAATTTATTCTATGTACAATCAACAGGTGTTAAGTTGTTTTGAAAAGTGTCCATTGATGGCTTGGACAGAAAATATATCAACACAAGTATTCTCATTATTAGATGCTCTTGGCTATACTGGAGAAATGCTTTCATTAAAGAATAACCAGCTATTTATATTTAATTTTTTAAAAAGTGCCACTGACAAAAAATATATTTTGAAGATTTTCATTTTGCATTCATCAAGCCAATTCACAAGAATATCAATGTAAAGGAGAACAACTTCTTTTTTAAACTGTGCGAGAAGAACATGCCGATTGGTTGGCAGATGGACTCTGAATGGAAGAAACATCACAGTTAGATGATGACTGGCATTACTAACTGCACCCAACCAGCCCATGTATTTAAAACTCTAACCCTATTGCCCAACATTAGATGTGATTCTGCAAATGAATAACACTTGCTAAATAATCCTGATTGTGCTAAACATTACACTGACAAACAATTTAAGATGGTCAGTCAGACTCAGTGTAGTATAGTTTTGTGTACTGAAGTTACTTATATTAATATACATGGTTCAGTTGCTTGCAAACAGAAAGAACAGGTACACAAAATATGCCCGCTTCAACTAAACAGAGTGGATGACAGCCATTCTTTGGTTAATTCTTCAGTGCAAAGCCTTGATCAGTGAGTCCATTCTGGTTTAAATTTAAACAAAGCTTGGTACATCTTCTCACAAAGTACATAAGTGTTGCTCCCCTTTACATTGGTGTTCTGGCAAATTGTCCTGATGAGTGCAAGATGAAAAGCAATTACAAAAACTGTCTTTTCTTTCCTGCAATAGTTAGGCTCTGTATTACCCAACAACTATGTTTTTTAGAAAAACAGATACTATCAAAGCTCACAAAGTATTTCATAAGGTTACACAAATTAGCTCTCAATTGTTAATGAGAATTGCAAATATTTATTCAGATTATATAAACCTAAAAACTATTCTTATCAATGTGACTGAAAATGATTAGCAAATCAGTATGCCAACATTTCACTCCCCCACATCACCCAGTTTTAAATAAATACTCAGAGTTCAAATATTATTCAAACTATTAGAATAGCAGTTAATATCACTATGCTTCCTATAAGCTCTCTTCAAGTTCTATTAAAGTGTAGAAGATCTAATTTGTTGGTTGATCATAAATTAGCATAGTTGATTGTCACAACAGCAGGTACATACAAATAACAGATCATCAGAATTCCGTAATAATCAGTCACCTCTACTTAGCAATGAAAAGCAGAACAACTACTTTGACTGGGTTTTCCTGTCTAAAGGGAATGCGGTTTCTCCCATTATTTTCTCAATGCAAATGAAATATCAAGCTTGATTGAAAGTATTTTCTGAAAAGTTTAATTTCTTTATATGAAGAGTTATTAGAAAACAGCAGATAGTCCCATGCTGAATTAGCATATCCTAATGGATACACTGACATGGCAAAATTATTCTCCATCTCCTGAAAGCTATTTTACATTCACTGAAAGCAAAATTAACATTCTCCGCATTAACTTTTCTAATCATTCGTGTTGAGATTTTAATGGCTCAGCGCTACCTAGTTATTAGCATTATAATACTTCAAAATGCCTACTCTACAGTGCATTATGCACATCTTTCCTTTCTGAGCTTTCTTCATCTTTAATTCTCCAAATCAAATGTACTGAATTTTAAACATAACTATCTTACTGTGAAGTACAAAGACTCAAAAAAAGTGTGGTAATTCTTTTCTTTCTTGAAAATCTCACTAATAAAACTTAGTGTTAGATCTTTACTTATCCACTTTCTTCCCTCCTTTTCTGAAAGTTAAATATTTTTGCTGATGTGTTTTGGGTCCAATCAAATCCACGTGGTGATATTTTCTTGTGAGCTGAAACAGTTAATGTTAACAGGCCATTTGACCATAAAGTATGGGGTTAAAAATCATGGTTGGGAAATGGCAGAGAGAGAAATCAGGAGTGAGTTTAATTACATCTTCATCCACATCTACGTATACATGTTAACAGGAGAGGCAAGGTCAATAGCAATTAGTAATGAAATATTGATTAAATTTTTCCCAGGATATCAAGCTCAATTGTACCATCCATCTCGTTGCTCCTGAAGCAGGCCAGTTAAAACAAACCAGGAAACTTAACACTAGACATGTTTTTCATTGGATATAGTCACTAAATTGTTGGTGAAGCCGCAAAATCAAGTATTTAAGCATAAATACCCAAATTGGTGCCTTTGCAAAGCTACTACTGATATAAAGTTGTGTTCATTTAACAATAGAATTTTGTATGAAAACTCTTAATATTCACAGCATTTAATATTCATGAAAAACATACATAGAATAAAATGATGGCATAGTTAACAGTTTACATTCATACCTAACAAATTGGTTCTATTAACTCCATCATTTATGGGTACTTAATAATGCTAACATTTTTACTTACTTAATACTTTCTGAACCTTTAAAAACTGGCATTGCTTAGTAGAGCAAAATCAGGTAATTTTTGGACTTTAATAGGGTTTGGAAGATTAAAGTGCTATACTGCACAACGAATTACAATGTCAAGGATATATTACTCTCAAATAGTGCTAACATGCTTGAAGTTGAATTCGCTTACATATTGCTCATAAGGCTATATTATCCAAATTGGTTCTCAATTATTAGATAAAATACGTACATCACAGCTTGAAATACTTTGATAATTTAAACCTATAGCAAAGAGGATTCTGTTATTTCAAAAGGCTTGGAGTGCTATGAATCTTAATTGTAGTTTAATATGTGGCAGAACAAAATTATGTACACTATTTTGCTTCCTTTTGTTTGCTGAAATAAGCAATTTCTCTCCCCTAGTCTCGCTTTTTTGAATGGCATTTTTCTCGGAAGAGACTGGTGTCCAGGTTAAACTACACTGTTAAACAAAACTGATCAGCGTATTCAAAGCAACAAAGTAATATACAGAAGAGGTTTCTTAAACCTCCAATTTTTTTGGCTAACTGGTTGATCAATGAACTGGCATCCCAATTTTTTTTTTTTTAAAAAAAAAACCATTCTTGGAGAAACTTAGTCAAAGCCCCCTCAAACTACCTTTTCTTCTAACTGAAAAGAACTTAGTCTAAACAACATCTTGCAGAGAGCTAGATTTTACACCTCTAAAATAGCTAAGTCCTTTCTGCTTGACACACACAGAAACCTAAGAACTTTGAAAGCTTTTAATCGCACATCCATTTAAATCTCTGCAAACAGACAGGAAACACTGGACATGGAAAGAAAAGTAGGAAGGAAAGCAGTTACAAATGACAACTCCTTTTCACCAGCAATCAGTAACACTTCATCTTCCTGCTCATAAATAAGCTATCATAGTTACATCAATTTGAAATAGAAGAAGTTCTACCATTTACCTCACTTGAAGATAAAGATTACATCTATGCTGTTGCTAGTTACATTTTGCCTCTGGGTTTCCACTGTCTTTCATTTATCTATTTTTAGTGAATATAAAATACACTATGTTCATCACCTCCGCTAAATTGCATACACTTTGAATTGGGAAGAATTTACTTGTGTCTCTTTTACAAAAGATTTTATAATAGTGCAGAACACATTAGTTATAACTTTATGTTCCAGAAACTGTTTCTACAAGAATTCAAGTTCTGGTATAACCAGTACTAATTGGCTGCTACTAGAAAAGATGAAGCACAATCCAAACCTCATCCTAAGACAGCGTACAGCACTGATGTATGTAACAAAGATTCTATTCAAAATGTACAAAACAACAAAATTAAATAAAGGGTCTAAACAAAAATCAACATTTAATAGCAATTCTTCCAGGAGGCATACTCCCTCTGGATAAACAGGTGCAAATAATGGACATGAACAGCCCCAAGGATTTAACTCCTGGCATCAGACCTGTCCTGGCAACAGTCACAAAAGCACTGCTGTGTTCAGCCCCATGCTACATCCTTATTTTTCCAATCAAGTGACACTGTTGCTACTAACTTTTAATTACACCATGCTCTGAATGGAGACATTCCAGACCAAGCCATCACTAAACAATTCATTACACAATATAGTGTAGAAAATACAGTTGTAATTTGCTGAAAATATATAATAAAAATAATGTTAGGTAAGCTTGTCAAGTTTCTGATTTTATGCATTATAAAGTGCAGAGAAAGTCTGGGAAATTTTAGAACCACTTCACCTTATTGGAATATATAAATGCCAGCAGTAACTGCACAGCAATATTAGCGGAGTGACCATCTTTTCAATCCATTTTAATTCACATGTTTTCAACTTGAAAGTGCAACAAAAGGACTCTCTGTCTCAGATAATTTATTCCTTGAGTTCCCAACATTTTCTTCTGGAATGACCACTGATGGGAATTCACCATTTGCAGTAGGTAAGGAATTGCAAGAAATCTGAGCAGTCTCTGTAAAAAGGTTGAAAAATAAATTTTATAATCTTGGTTCAGTGTAAACACTCCATCTCCATGTTTCAGTTTTCCTTCCACAAAGCTGAAAAGACACAGTTATTAAAAGCATGGACAGGCTAATGCAGCAAAATAAAACAAAAAACTGTGAATGTTGGAAATCTGAAACAAAAACAGATTTCTGGAGAAACATAGCACATCTGGCAGCATCTGTGAAGATAAAGCAGAGTTAACGTATCGAGTCCAGTCAGTGACCCTCCTTCAGAACTAACAGTAGCTATGAAAAGGTGCTCTTTATGCTGAAGACTGGGCAGGGGCGTAAAGAAATGGAAGAAGGTGTTCAGCTTCTAAAATTATTGAACTCAAAATTCAGTCCTGCAGTCTGCAGAATTTGCCAAGTAGAAAATTAGATGCTATTCTTCCAGCTTCTTGCCGGAGCACGGTAGCGCACCTGAGATGGCAATGTTGGTCAGGGAACCCAGCGGTGTGTTGAAATGGCAGGCATTTGGAAGTTCAGGGCCATTTCAGAATGGCTGACAGAATGAAGTTGTTCCACAAAGCAGTCTCCTAATCTGTGTTTCATTTCCCCAATGTAGAAGAGACCACACTGTGAGCACAAATACAGTGGACAAGATTGAGTAGAAGTGCAGGTAAATTGCTGCTTTACTTGGAAGGTGTGTCTGGAGCCTTAGATAGTAAGGATGGAGAACATAACCCATTTTCACCTACGTTCCCAATTATTAGTTATCTTCTTCCCCGAGCAAAGGACCATCCATTCTATTGTCTCCCTATCGCTCTGTCTCTGGGCTCCATCTCCATTAATCTGCTCACTCCTTTCCCATGCCACATACACCACCGTCTTCAGCACAAATACCAAATTTTCTAAGCCCTCTTCTGAAGGAGGGTCACAGGACTCAAAGTATTAACTCTGCTTTCTCTCCACAGATGCTGTCAGACCTCCATCAATTTCTGTTTTTGTTTCAATTTACTCAATGTTTAAATGAAAGTTCCACCTTTATAGCTGGTAGGTCACAGTATTGATCATTGGTGTAACTTAAGCACCCAGCAGAATGCTCTGAAGAACAGTCTGGCTAATGCCTTCTGTACTGTTGCTTCTATTTTATGTTCATTTAGTGTCACAAAGCGGCAGTTGGATCTTAAAAGGCTCATATCTAACAATGGAAATTGCTGGAGAAACTCAGCAGGTCTGGGAGTAGCTGTGGAGAGAAGACACAGTTAACGTTTCAAGGTCAGTGACCCTTCTTTACTACTAGAAGCAGGTAGGAAAAGGTGGTATTTACGCTGGCAATTGGGAAGGTAGGGGGGTTGGGAAGGAACGTGGGAGGCATGAGCAAATTGGTAGAGAAATCTACTTAGAGAAAGAGTGAGAAAAAGAAGGGTAGGCAGACAAAGGGATTGTTGACAGTCAGCCAGGAAAGAAGAGAAACTACATTGGTGAGCAGAACCTCTACATAGTTGCATACCTGAATGAGATGTGGTAGTAAATTAAACACTAAATTAAAACAAGAAACTGTTGATATTGGACATCTATAACAAACAAAAATAGACATTCTTGGAGAAACACAGCAGGTCTGACCCCTTTGTCCCCCTACCCGGTTTTTCTTTTTCAAACTCTGAACAAAGTTATAATTGCTTAAGTAAGTCCATATTCAATGGTACCTTAAAATTGTGAAAGGACATCTGCTTTGTCCAAATTTGAGATTTTGTTCATGATTTATTCAGTTACATGGAATACATAGCTCAAAAACAGGTCAATTTGGTCAAACCTGTCCATGATGGCATTCATGCTTTATTTGAGTCTCCTCCCAAATTTCTTCATCTAAGTCTAGCATTGCAACGCTCTATTCTATTAATTCTGTTAAATAAAATGAAAATTAAATAAATTCCCTTTAAATACATCTAAACTATTCGCTTCAACCACTCCTTCTGTGACAGTGAGTTTCACATTCTCTTCACTGTTTGGTTTAAGATACTCTTGGATGTCTTGGAGACCACCTTACAGCATTGGCCTCTAGTTTCGCTCCTTTGCCTGAATGAAAACATTCTCTTTGTATTTGCTCTATCAAAATATTTCATAATTTTAACATTTTAGCTAATCTCTCAACTTTCTTTTTCTCTCAAAAGGAAGCCCCAGCCTGTCAATCCTTTCCTGATATGTATACCCATGCATTTCTGGTTATCTTCTCTGCACTTTCTCCACTACCTCTACTTGCTTTCAATAATATAATAACCAGGACTGCATGCAGTACGTTCAAGTGTAGTGTAAGCATGGTTCAATACACACGTAGCATAACTCTCATGTTTTCAATTCTCCCTCTCTCTCACCATCTCTTGTCTAGAAATAACAGAAAACTTTGCTTTACTAACCTGTGGCATCTATTAGAGATTGATGTATTCCAAGGTCCTTTTGACCCTGTACACAATTAGACTTGCACCTTGTAAGTAACCTCCCTATTCTTTCTGCCAAAACGTACTACCTCATACTTATGTTGAGCTTCATTTGCCTGAATGACTGAAAATGTGTAATATGCCCTTCTGTAATATGTTGCAGTCTTCTTCAGTATTGATGATGCTCATCTCCTTATTTTGCATCATATAGAACATTAAACATTGTTTTTTTGATTCTAAAGTCCAAATCAATAATGTATATTGTTTTTTGCAATGATCCCAAAACTGATCCTTGTAGAAGATCACTTCCCACCTCCTGCCATTCATGCTGTATGATTTCTGTCTTGATGCCAGCTAGCAATCCATTTTTCCACCGTGACTCCAGACTTTACTCATTAGTTTATTACGAGACACTGGTTCAAAAGGTGTTTTGAAAATCCAGATAAATTACATCTACACCTTCACCATTGTCTACTCTCTCTCTCACACAAAAATTCAATACAATCACTCAAACAAGATTTTTTCTTATGAATTCAATCATTATAGTCTTTTTTTGTTTCTGAAGTTTATTCTTTTCTCACCTTTAGTAACAATTCCATTACTTTTCTTGCCACTAATGACTGGTCAAAAAGCCCGTGGGCTCCTTACACAGCCGTAGTCCCCACACTCTGATATTTCAGAAGCAAAAGGGTCCTCCTCTGTCACTCTTAAGTAGTGGCAACCATCTCCAGGTTCCCTCCTACCCCCTAATTTGGTTGTCTCCCTGCCCCCAAAAACATAGTCCCCACTCTCCTTTCTCTCTTCCTCCAATCACAGACAGACAGTCAATGAGATTGCTGGCAAGTTCAACAGAGAGTAGCTAAGTGACTGTTAATCCCCTAGGCCAAGCAGAGGACAGAATTCGGAGATGGAAAGGTTGGAATTCAACCAATTAGCAGAAATTACTCATCCCTAATTTTGACAGGTGAATTGTACTTCGTGGAACCTAGTTACAAGTAAAAATTTACCCAATATTAAACAGATATTTGTGACTGAGTGCTCCTCTTCCATAATGTTCTGCTTCATGTAATCACCATAGAATTCTTCCACATTGAAAACAATGAATAAAATAACCAAGCTTTGAGATTCATAGTTTAAATGATTAGAATAAAAATGTTTCAGAGTTAATTTGGCAAGTGAAACTAATTTTATTCTAGGAATAGAATTAAGTCGTGCTTACTTTCTGCGTAGTCCAGAGCGCTATCACTGTTTGATTCAACACCTGAATATTCCGACATTGTCCTGGGTACTTCCTCATGTGGTGTCACAATAACTGCTTCTTTTTGGTAAATTGTGTTCAGTTTCCTGCTAAAGACAAAATTTAATTTCAACAAAAGAGAGAGAAAGAAAATTATAAAGCAATAAATTGATAATTTAAATGATAATTGATAATTAATAGAAATGACCGTCAAAACCTTTCAAAGCAGCAAAGCTGAATAATAATATCAATTATTGCCTTTTTGGGTAATAAGCAGAGCTAGACAGAGGAAAGGAATCAGCCACAATTCATGACCATCAGAAAAAGCTAAGGAATTAGGTTTAACTAACACTGTCCTTCCGTGGCTTCTGGTTGGTCACACTCCAAAAGTTGGCCTTGCCAGATTTCACATGAAAATGGGGGTCAGAAGGAAGCAGTTTTTTAGCCTTGGTTTCTACCTCTTACAGCTTATTTTTCATTTCTCCCACAGTCTTACCTCTTTCCTACTTTCACGCCCATTCTCCTATCTCTAAACCACTAATCTCTTTCTCTTACTCTGTCAGGTTTATTCTGTCCCCTTTGACTTCCAGAAAACAATCCAAAACAAAAACTTACCAGGAAAATGAACAACACGAGAGCAAACCTGCCTCAGAAAGCTATTGAAAATGCATCCAGCTGTTTCAAGACAGCACCACAGGTCTCTGAGATGGCAGCCTACTGCGAGAACTTTTAAATGTACCACCAGGTCAGCTGCCCACTGGGGAGTCACCAACCTGTTCCAGCGGCTCAACAGGGCCTGCGTCTGCAGCTCCACGGCATCCTACCTGAACAGCCAGAGCCCTTTTCTTCTGCAGTAGCCAGCAGTTCTTACCCACCACCTCCTTGGCTTTTGACAGCAGTGGTGAGCTGTGCTAGCTGGCCCTGACCAGCTAAGTGGAACTGCTAAAGCTGCTCCGGCCCCCACACTCCTACTCAGCCCCGATTGCCATGGCCATCCAGAACAGTAAGAAACTAACTCTCAGCATATTCTACCATATTGCCAAGAACTCCCCTTTCTACAAGAGGAAGGTGGGCTGGCAGAACTTCATCCGCCACAATTTGCTTCAAGGTGGTGGCCAGGAACAGGGATGATCCAGGTGAGGGGCCCCATCCCCAATGCCAGTTCCCACTCCTTTCCATCTGTGAAATACTGCAGATCTGAAATCAAAGTAGAAAGCCTCCTATTTCCAGAGCTGGCCCATAGACTCACCACCATGGCTAAAGGACTCAGGCTGCTTGTGGCTTCTCCAGTCACAGTCTTGTCCTCTCCCGCATTTGCTGGTGATAAGCTCACCTGCAGGACTGCAGCAGCTCATACAGGACAGAAAGAGTATCTAACTGAAGGAGCAATTCCTTGTAAAAAGTACGCATGAGCTGTAAATGCTTTAGTAGGCCATATGTGGCCAACGGGCCATAGATTTGACATCCCTAATGTTCAGGAATTAAGAATGTAGCATTACTGCAAATGTCAATTACAAGCAAATTCTACAACAACCATACTCATATTGAACAAGTGATAATTCTGGTAAAAATACTGGGCTAGAAAATATTATAGTTGTAAAGGTCTCATTATTATTAATTATCACAAATACCAGTGGCCAAATACAATTTGCATCAACCAAATAGCAAAATTCCTTTCCCTTACCCATCATAAAGAATGGTACCTGGATGACTAATGGATCGTTTTATCTGTAATATCAAAAAGAAAGTTACCAATTTGAGTATCATCTAAATTAGTTGATACTATAGCTCAATTTATATTAACAGCCAGTCACGAACAAGACAATATTTTACAAGAAAAAGCAGTAGACAAAATGCAAAAGCATTACTATATGTAATTTTTTGTTTTTTTCATATAGTTTCCTACCCGAACCATCTGAACAGGTGAAGGTGATACAGGAGAGACAAGTGGATCAGCGAGAGAAAACTGGAACATTTCCGGTTTAAACTTGGCATTAGCTATCTTCATACACTCATCAAGAGTTGAAATGAATGTATTGCAAGTGGCACTGAGCAAGGAGGAAGCTTCATTCATAGTCTATGAAACAAAAACAAAACATTACTTAAATATACATATTTCACAACATGCTTTAAATTCAGACCACATTTTATCAATGACCATTGTATATCCATAATTGTCCAAATACTAAAAGTCATCGTAGTTCTACTGTACGAGAGAGCTGCCCTCTCATTAGAAAGGGATGATTGGTGGTTTAACCCAAGGATCACTTTGCCTTAGGAGAGGGAAAAGATTGAGAAGGAAAGTTTTTCATGGTAAGCTCAGCCAGTGCAGGAAGTGACACTCTATTATTGCAAACCAGCTGTCCAACCAACTGAGCTAATTACTTTAGCGATGGAAAGGGATCGGTATATACCGCAGGGCAAGAGTTATAGCTGGGGGAAAGGCAATTATGAGGCGATGAGGCAAGATTTAGGATGCATAGGATGGAGAAGGAAACTGCAGGGGCTGGGCACAATTGAAATGTGGAGCTTGTTCAAGGAACAGCTACTGCGTGTCCTTGAGAAGTATGTACCTGTCAGGCAGGGAGGAAGTGGTCGAGAGAGGGAACCGTGATTTACTAAAGAAGTTGAATCTCTTGTCAAGGGGAAGAAGGAGGCTTATGTAGAGATGAGGCGCGAAGGCTCAGTTAGGGCACTTGAGAGTTACAAGTTAGCCAGGAAGGACCTAAAGAGAGAGCTAAGAAGAGCCAGGAGGGGACATGAGAAGTCTTTAGCAGGTAGGATCAAGGAAAACCCTAAAGCTTTCTATAGGTATGTCAGGAATAAGAGAATGACTAGAGTAAGATTGGGGCCGGTCAAGGACAGTAGTGGGAAGTTGTGCGTGGAGTCCGAAGAGATAGGAGAGGTGCTAAATGAATATTTTTCGTCAGTATTCACACAGGAAAAAGACAATGTAGTCGAGGAGAATACTGAGATACAGTCTATTAGACTAGACGGGATTGAGGTTCATAAGGAGGAGGTGTTAGCAATTCTGGAAGGTGTGAAAATAGATAAGTCCCCTGGGCCAGATGGGATTTATCCTAGGATTCTCTGGGAAGCTAGAGAGGAGATTGCAGAGCCTTTAGCTTTGATCTTTATGTCGTCATTGTCTTCAGGAATAGTGCCAGAAGACTGGAGACTAGCAAATGTTGTCCTCATGTTCAAGAAGGGGAGTAGAGACAACCCTGGTAATTATAGACGAGTGAGCCTTACTTCGGTTGTGGGTAAAGTGTTGGAAAGGATTATAAGAGATAGGATTTATAATCATCTAGAAAGGAATAATTTGATTAGGGATAGTCAACATGGTTTTGTGAAGGATAGGTCGTGCCTCACAAACCTTATTGAGCTCTTCGAGAAGGTGACCAAACAGGTGGATGAGGGTAAAGCGGTTGATGTGGTGTATTTGGATTTCAGTAAAGCGTTTGATAAGGTTCCCCACGGTAGGCTATTGCAGAAAATACGGAGGCATGGGATTGAGGGTGATTTAGCGGTTTGGATCAGAAATTGGCTCGCTGTAAGAAGACAGAGGGTGGTGGTTGATGGGAAATGTTCATCCTGGAGTTCAGTTACTAGTGGTGTACCTCAAGGATCTGTTTTGGGGCCACTGCTGTTTGTCATTTTTATAAATGACCTGGATGAGGGCGTAGAAGGATGGGTTAGTAAATTTGCGGATGACACCAAAGTTGGTGGAGTTGTGGATAGTGCGGAAGGATGTTGCAGGTTACAGAGGGACATAGATAAGCTGCAGAGCTGGGCTGAGAGGTGGCAAATGGAGTTTAATGCGGAAAAGTGTGAGGTGATTCACTTTGGAAGGAGTAACAGGAATACAGAGTACTGGGCTAATGGTAAGATTCTTGGTAGTGTGGATGAGCAGAAAGATCTCGGTGTCCATGTGCATAGATCACTGAAAGTTGCCACCCAGGTTGATAGCGTTGTTAAGAAGGCGTACAGTATGTTAGGTTTTATTGGTAGAGGGATTGAGTTTCGGAGCCATGAGGTCATGTTGCAGCTGTACAAAACTCTGGTGCGGCCGCACTTGGAGTATTGCGTACAGTTCTGGTCACCGCATTACAGGAAGGATGTGGAAGCATTGGAAAGGGTGCAGAGGAGATTTACCAGGATGTTGCCTGGTATGGAGGGAAGGTCTTATGAGGAAAGGCTGAGGGTCTTGAGGCTGTTTTCGTTAGAGAGAAGAAGGTTAAGAGGTGACTTGATAGAGACATACAAGATGATCAGACGATTAATAGGGTGGACAGTGGGAGCCTTTTTCCTCGGATGGTGATGGCTAGCACGAGGGGACATAGCTTTAAATTGAGGGGTGATAGATATAGGACAGATGTCAGAGGTAGGTTCTTTACTCAGAGAGTAGTAAGGGTGTGGAATGCCCTGCCTGCAAAAATAGTAGACTCGCCCACTTTAAGGGCAGTTAAATGGTCATTGGATAAATATATGGATGATAATGGAATAGTTTAGGTTAGATGGGCTTCAGATTGGTTTCACAGGTCGGCTCAACATCGAGGGCCGAAGGGCCTGTACTGCGCTGTAATGTTCTATGTTCTATGTTCTAACTGACCCCCTGTCCAAATCCTAAACTGCATAAGAACCTAAAAGCACCATTGCTTTACACAATTCATAGACTCCACACAAACTTTAATTAAGTTCCAAAATATGGGGCAACACTTTACCCTATTCATACTATTTTATTAAAAACGTGACTTTTCTTCATTCTGGAGGCTTAAGTTGGGCAACTGCTCATTATTCCCCAAAGCTGTATTAGAAACTTAGCAATGTAAACAGAAAAGAGTGCTATTTACTCTTCTGTATAATGATCAGACAGGTTGTGAGGCTATAGAATATACTCCCAGACAGAAGTTAAGGCACATACTATCAACATTTATATTTGATAGTTGGATGTAGGGATATGGGTACAGGATGCATAAACACAAATCCCCCACCATCAACATCCTGAGGTTTAAAACAGAGGCTAGGAACACTGCGGTGAGTAACTCACCTCCTGACTCCCCGAAGCCTGTCTGCCATCTACAAGGCACAAGTCAGGAATGTGATGAAATACTCCACATTTGTCTGGATGGGTGCAGCTCCAACAACACTCAAGAGGCTTGACACTATCCGGGACAAAGTAGCCCACTTGATTGGCACGACATCCATTAGTATCCACTCCCTCTACCACTGATGCTCAGTAGCAGTAGTGTTTACTATCTATACGATGCACTACAGAAATTCACGAAAGATGCTCAGACAGCACCTTCCAAACCTACGTCCACTTCCATCTGGAAGGACAAAGACAGCAGATACATGGGAACGCCACCACCATCAAGTTCCCCTCCAAGCCACTCACCATTCTGACATGGAAATGTATCGTCGTTCCTTCACTGTCATTGGGTCAAAATCCTGGAATTCCCTTCGTAATGGTATTGTGTGTCAACCCACAGCAGGTGGACTGCAGCAGTTCAAGAAGGCAGCTCACCAACAGCTTCTGATGGCCACTAGGGACGGGCAATAAATGCTGGCCAGCCAGCAATGCCCACATCCCACAAATGAATATATTTTTAAAAAGGAATGGAAGTTTTTGGGTGAAGGATGAGAACCAATGTCAACTTCTTGGGATGTATGGCCCATTTCCATGATGTATGCATTTCTGTGACCTGCTAGGATCACCTAGATATAGCAAATAAAAATCTTGCTCAACTAGAGAAAGATAGATCACCTGACCATAAGACATAGAAATTGCCTTTGAGGCCTTCTAGTTAGTGTCCAACATTTTGCTGGTTACCTACTAGAGTAGCAAATGCGATTATACACCTTCAAAATCAAAACTATTTGCCAGTATACCTATGGGGTATCATACCTCAGGAGGAGATAAACTCGGCTGGTCTTGTTTGACAGACTCTTGTATCGTATGAACTTGCTGCATCAACAAGTCACAGTACAACCGAAGTTCTGACATCTTTGTTTTGAGAGACTCATTGGTTTCACTGATTTCTAGGTAATTCAGAAGAAAGTACACAATTTACAGATAAACCAAAAAGATTAACTTAACTCATTTACATGAGCAAGCTCAATGTCAATTTGTCCAGCAAGAGCAAATGGAATAGACTTACAAGGAATGTTAGTGCAATGTCAAGGTCAGTATCTCCATTTAGTTTTTTTTCAACTTAATGTAATTCACAAAACGTGCTTATACAACTTAGAGGGCAATTAATTTTTCAACAAAGTTATAATCATTACATTCGTTGACATTTTCATAATAGTTTTACTCAACAATGTGTTACTTCAGGCAGGTTTTAAGATCTAGCTATGCTTTTCTTTTGGAACAATACACTGGACACAAGAAATAATGCAAGCAGAACAGAAAAACAAACTATTTGCACAATATTTTATCACGAAAACAATCAACAATTAGAAAGCCTTCAGTGTCATTTATTTGCATTACAAATCCTGTTTGCAGTTAATGTTACCTTTTTCCTTTTTAGTCCTGGTATCTGTGAGACAAGCTTTTGAACTTCCTAGTGCCACCAACCATCTCTGTCTTTCAGCAGCGTTGACTGATTTCACATAGAAATGCTGCTCTCCAGGAATAATTAATTCCATTCGTGTGCTGTCTGTTGAATGAACTGATTTAAAAAGAAACATGTAAAATGCTCCAGTGGTGTATGAAGTACAAAATACATAAACATTTTCTATAGATATCTAAATCAAAAATTCTAGCAATGTAATTTTGATAAAAAGGTTCACAGTTTACAGCAAACTCCATGCAAAGTATCTATTAAATGATCAGTTTCCAAGAGCCAATCTTCAGCAAGTATGTTGAAATCAATGATTAGAACATCACACACTTAATTTTCAGTTGCAGAACTGAAGCAGCGATTCTGCACTAGTATTATGTGACAGAGATTATGAAAAAGAATATGAAAATCTTTCATTTATGATTTTTGACTTGGGAAATAGCTTTTTCCCTACCTTTAATTTCACATACAGCCATTTTGATACTTCCTTTGCTGCCTTTGTTAACGTCATCCTGAGAATCATAATAGGAAAGTATGCCATTATCCAGGACGAACCAACGAGGTTGCCAACCTAGGAGAGAGAATTTGCAATCTTGATTAGGATTAATTTTTTGAAGCACCAAACTTCACATGACAGGAATTATTTAACTTTTTAATGCTTTTGGAACTAAATATTTCTGGCTCGTATGCAATAGGTGGGAAGAGGCTACTTTTATTTGTACTATGCAGAATTGTGATCAAAGAAAATCTTAAATATTAAATATCATTGATGCATACATGGCCTACATTCTAGAGTAGCGGAGCATGAATTAATAAAGGACTAGGTGCTGCTCAGGGACCAGGCTCAAATCTAGAGAAAGATTAATTACATCTATACTTCTGCCAGTTGTAAACCCTTATGTAAACTGTGTAGGTTGACCAAACATAGTTCCTCCACAACTAAACTCCAAAATGGAAACGCTACACATACACATTTCAAATTGAGGTAAATACTGATGTGTAAAATTTAAAAAAATTACTTCAGAACAAGCTGTGTTATGGTCCTAACCTAGGAGTATTTAATACTAGCACTGGAATCTAAAATAGAACAGTGATCTGTATAAAACCAAAAGAACTGCGGATGCTGTAAATCAGGAACAAAAACAGAAGTTGCTGGAAAAGCTCAGCAGGTGTGCCAGCATCTGTAAAGAAAAAGTCAGAGTTAACGTTTCAAGTCCGGTGACCCTTCCTCAGTTCTGAAAGGTCATCGGACCTGAAATGTTAACTCTGAATTTTTCTTCACAGATGCTGTCAGACCTGCTGAGCTTTTCCAGTGATCTGTGTACATTACTTCATTTTGTACATTTGAAAAGTAGGTTCATTATAACAGTTAAGTTCGGAGGTCATACTGGATGAAGCCACTGTAATCGATTTTGGGGCAAAAAAAAGGAGAAAAACTCATCTGATGATACCAATAGAGTACTATTGTCAGAGGCTTGGTAGCACCACTCTGGACCATTGGTTTGTTCAAGACTGGAACTGAATATGCAGTCAATGAGAAAGTAATTCTTTAAAATTCCTCTGTCAGTTGATAAAATTAAAAATAAACTCCAAAAATACTGCCACAGTCTTAGAATCATGCAACACAGGAAAGGCCCTTCAGCCCATCACGTCTGCACTGACAATAACTACCACTAAAGGCACAACAATCCCAATTTCCTGCACTTGTTCCATAACCTTGAATGTTTTGATATTTCAAGTGGTCATACTTTTTTTTTAAGAAGTCGTAAAGGTTTCTCACTTCCATTACTTTCCCAGGCAGTGCATTCCAGATTCCCACTACCTTCAGTGATTTTTTTTTTTCTCAAATCCTCTGAATTTCCTGCCCCTTGCCCAAAAACCATGACCCCTTATGACAGATCCCACACCTAAGGGGAACAGCTACTCTCTACTTACCCTATCCATACCCCTCATAATCTCATAAACTGGTTCATGACCGCACCCCCCCTCACCCCGCCAACCCCAGTCTTCTCTGCTCTGAAGAAGACAATCCAAGCCTATGTAGACTCTCCTTATAGTTCATTATTTCCATCCCAGGCAACATCTAGTGAACCTCCTCTGTACTCTCTCCAGTGCTATCACATCCTTTCTGAAGAAGGGTCCAGGCCCGAAACGTCAGCCTTCCTGCTCCTCTGATGCTGTTTGGCCTGCTGTGTTCATCCAGCTCTACACCTTGTTATCTCCCTTATAGTGAGGCGACTACGATTCTACTCTGCATCAACGCAGTTCCCAAGGGGACTCTGCAATGCCCATTTCTGCGACAGCCGGGATCAGAAGATCCCAGAAGAAACGAGTAGCGGTGTCGGGTTTGGTGAAACTTGGCGATGTGCGTAGAAGTGCCGCAGGAGAGCTCTGTGCCCCTGAACAGCCGCTTCTACCGAACTATTACGGTGTAAAAGGTAGCCGTTCGGCCCATCGTCTCTGAGCCCACTCCTTCTCAAGATTCACCAACAGGACTGCCCCTGGTAAAGCCATGACTGTTTTCAGCCAGGCCCAGTGCAAGCGAACTGATTTCTTTCCACTGACACAGCGGCGAGCCCCCGGGGGCCTGGCTGCGCTCACCCGTCAGGTAATTGGTCCACTTGTACAGGATCCCTTCCATCTTCACATCTTCCGATTCGCTGTCACTTCTGCACCAGCTCGTCCGGAACGTCTACACATTCAGGCCGCGCCCGCACGAAAGCCCGAGTGGCCCAACTCGGCCCGCGCTCTCGCTTTCATTACTGCGCGGGCCTCGATTCGCCCAGAGCCCTGGCTCCAGACACAGAAACCTCGCTCGACACCATCCCGACAAGCAGGTAACCCTCCACTCCTCTAACCTCCGACCTCCGACCTCCAACCTCCCACCTCTGCGTCGGAAGCGCCCTCCCCAACAACACGGAAGTGTTGGGGACGATGGGGCGGACCTCGGAAAATGCGCAGCCGCAGAACCACCTGCAGAGCCGACACCGCCTCACCGTCCTGGGAGGGTGGGACGGTATTACATCGCGAGTGGGAACGGGCGAAGAAGCTGATTGACAGCTGGGTTGACCAATGGGAAACGGGTCTGCAGCGCGCTGGTAGTTGTCCGGGTTACGAGGGAAGACGGAGACGTGGCAGCCAAGCTCGAGCTGACGGTTCTAGGTTTGATTGTGGCCGTTGGCCTACCACTTGTTTCTGGTCGATATGTGCCGTTACGGTACTTTGTTCGTTTACTTGCTGGTTTGCACTGTTGTCTTCAATTATATTTCCGCGAAAGTAGCTGAAGAAGTAAAGATAGAGATTATATATAGGCCAGAAAATTGCCCGGTGAAGAGCAAACGTGGAGATGCTCTTAATGCGCATTATGATGGTTACCTAGAAGACGGGTCGCAGATTTATTGCAGGTGAGCTGTCCTTCGGGGCAGTTTTTTTTTGTCAGCGCTTCTATTATGTTTAGCAGAGTGTTTGCAAATGCCAACAAGTTTGTCATACGTATTTAATTTTATTTTGTAAGCTTTCTACTAAATTAGGTTCTGGACGTTTTCTTAAATCCAGTTGCTATTTCATATTCCAAACTATTTAGCTCGGTTTTGTCGTGCTCTTGCAGAGCGTTTCTACAAAAGTTTGTGAACTTGTGAGTTTTTCTCTCTCTCTCTCTTAAGCACCGGCAGAATAGGTGTGTTAGGTTCCACTAGATTGGGTAGCAAAGTGGAGTTGAAGCTGAGATAAGATCAGCTATGAGCATGTTGAGTGGCAGAGTAGACTTAAAGAGCTGAATTGCCTCCGCCTGCTTCTACTTTTGTTCTTATGCTAGAATCCAAACCTCAAAGAATTGTAATCAATTTGTGAGGTGTGACATTCCGTTTGTGAAGCCATGTTGACTCTGCTTGATCATGTTATCTTTTTCTAAATACTTTGCTACTACATCCATAATAGATTCCAACATGTTCCAAACAGCAGATAGTTATTTGTTCTTTTTGTCTCCTTTCCTTTTGACATAAAAGTATTACATTGACAGTTTTCCAAACCCCCAGAATTACTCCAGAATCTAAGGATTCCTGTAAGATTATTAATAGTGTATCCGTTAACTCTGTAGCTACATTGTTTACTTTCCTTCAAGTTTCCCATGGAATATTAAGCCAGTTGCATCTTACTCAACAAGACATAATAGGTTGTGTTTTTCTAATGAGATCATTAGAGTACAAATTGAAATGCATGTGATTTCAAAAGACCTCCATCTGCAGGACTTCAGGGAAACACCTCTCTGGAGGAGCTGGAACCTCCAGATTTCTACATTTAAATGCGGATCACATAAGTTGCTGTCAGTTTCAGGTGTAATGACAGTGAAAGGTAACCACGTGTGCCATCATCACTGATATAAAGTCAGGCAATATTCATGGTTTAACAAGTACTTCCATTTGTGGTCTTTCACTACATTAACTTTCTAGCTGCAGAATACGTTGTTTGCCTTCCCTCTGTTTCTTTCTGATTATGCTAATGAAGATTATTTATTTGTCACTCCACGGTTTTGAAGAAAAGTGAATGTATCTCAAATGTTAACCATTTGTTCCTGGATTTGTGGTGAATTACCAGCATTTTGTTTTGTTTTCCTTTTAATTGCCAGATATCCTAAGGAGTGGCAATGACAGTCAGGTTGTTATAGAGTCATAGAGATCATTCACTTATGTTTTTCTGTTAGGATTGAGCAGAATTTTATTTTCATCCTGAAAGTAACTAGTATACTCTATGTTCCAGGGATTCCTTTTGAAAGACAGAATTTGCATAATATGTATATACTGAGCAACTGAAACATTCTGTGAACAGTTTAGAACTTCGTTCTGTTAAGCAACTAACTCAATAGAAAATCCTTAGGTTGGATTGAAATGTGGCAAGTCACAAATCTTATTAATCAAAGGGAATATAAATACCTGTACACTCTGACATGCTATTTTTTCAGTTGAAAAAGGTTTGTGATGGGAAATGTTCGGCATGAGAGTCAGTAAGTGAGAACTTAAAATAAAATTGCTAATCCACAAAATGTTATACATTTTTGTTTTTAAATATTTTATTTTTAAATTCTGTATGAAATAAAATCAAACCATTCAAATTTAGTAAATATGAGCTCTTCCAGTTAGTTGTAGCCTAATATATATCATTATTCACCTACAAAGGAATTAAAATTAAATTCCATTGTATTGTCACCTGACCATTTAACATTTTGAATAGATTGGCATGTTGTTGAGTTACCATTTTTCAGAATAATTCATATCATAGTAATGGCAGTCATTACTCTTTAACTTGACGAGCTGTGCGTTTCAGCTTGCATTTTGATGCTGAACATAAGTTTGTATTTATTTACAAAATTAAACATCAATAGCTTTCTTAATCATTATCACCTAAAGTAAAGTGAAGATAAATGTGATTATCTCTCCCTTTCCCTTTTTACTTCCAGTTCTTGCACCATGCTGCTCTTATCATCTTTTAAAGTTGTTTTCTTTAATAATATGGCTTCTTTAAAATCAGTCAAGTGCTTGAATTTTGCGGTCAGTGAAAACCCAGATTCCGTTGCTGGATGTGATCATAGATGAGACTAGGTCATACTCTACTGTGAGTTATGCATTGTGTTGAATATGTTTCTTTGTATTATATTGTTCAACTAGAAAGGAATTAAAATCAGTTTCCATTTGTATAGTCACCTGATAGACAATTTAACATTTTAATTATATTGGCTTGAGTTGTTCAGTTACCATTTTTCACAGAAGGAGCTTTCATCATTGTGAAAAATGGATAAACTAGATTTTCTTGTTTGGCAATATTGAAACAAATCAATATAATATCACCTCCAAACCTCATCCCCTTCCCACAGAATCCTGCCATACAATCGCAGAAGGTTTTTTTTAAACTTCTGTCTGCTCACTGTCCAAGGTCCCAAACTCTGCTTCCAGGTAAAAGAGTGATTTCCTTGTATTATAATTTGGTGTACTGTATTCGCCGCTTACCATGCAGTACTCTTATCACTGTAAGACACTGAACAAATTAGTTGACCTCTGCTTAGTGAGCAAACATGACCTCGATCTTCCTTTTGCTTGCCATTTTAATTCACCACTTGCTCTCAATCTCATATTTCTGTTCTCGACCTGCTGTAAAATCCCTTGGAACCCAACACAGCTTGAGATCGGCACTTCGTCCTTTGATTAGGCTCTCTAAAGCTTTCTGGACTGAACTTCAAACTATGAACTGTCCTCCTAATTTGATTATTTTTGCTAGTGTCAGTCTGTTCTTGCTTTCAGTCAGACCTGTCCTGCTTTCCACCATAAAGCATACTCTAGACAAACGCTGCATCCATAACTGTTCCCTTTGCCTTTTGTATTCCTTAGTTATTTTATCCGTTCAATTTTTAAACTGTCTGTGATCTTCCCTTTGATTCTACCTGACATGCTGTACTCTTTTTCAACAGCAAAGTAAAACTACCATATTTCTACATCTCTGTTCCAAAGGAGTCATATTGGATTTGAAATGTTAACTCATTTTCTTTCTAGAAATGCTGCCAAGCCTGCTAATTTTTACCAACTTTTTGTTTTTATTTGAGATATACTTACAGGTGATTTCTACATTTTATGTAGTAATTTAGAATGGTTTCTGAATTCATTTCATAGAGATACTTGTATTCAGATAAAGTTTTATTGACCTTTAATGAAGACGTCTCTCAAAGTATCAGTTAGCAGAACTTAGAAAACTGATGCACTCTCAATTTGGTGCGCTTACAAGACACAACATCAACATAGATGATAAATAGCTGTCTATGTTTTACTAGTAGTTCTGTTTTGCTTGAAGTATGCTTTAAGTATTGAGTATCAAACTTGGCTTGTGTTTTATAGTTTTATTCATTGACTGGATGTGGGCATCACTGGCTGAGAGTGCATTTGTTGACCTTGAGAAGGTGTTGGTGAGCTGCCTTCTAGAACAACTATGCTCCAAGTGATGTAGGTAGAGTCACAATGCAGTTAGGAAGAGAGTTCCAGGAAATCGACCCAGCAACATTAAATAAACACCCTGAATACATTTCCAGCCTGCTTTATGGCCCAAAGATGTTATTACTTTTATTCTATGTAAGAAAAAAAGCCTAATTTTGCTTTATAATTTGCTTTGGGATCTAGTTTATCTGTGGAACAGTTTTCATAAAAATTGTAACTTTTTACTTTGGTTTTATTGAAAGATTTAGAACCTGAACCTAACTGAGAAAACATTTCATTTTATTTCTGCAGTCGTACAAACAATGACGGCCATCCTAAGTGGTTTATACTTGGTGTTGGGCAAGTAATAAAAGGATTAGACATTGGTATGGATGGTATGTGTGAAGGGGAGAAAAGAAAATTAACTATACCACCTTCCCTGGCATTTGGAGCAATTGCTAGAGGTAATATCTAAATGCAATTTCACAAATTGTCCTGTTTACTCTCTCAATTTGTATTAATGAAGACTGGATTAATTTAATATAAATGGTATAATTCCGCCCATTTTGCCTTGTAGACCAACACTGAACATGTAACACACAGTAACAGCATGTACATTACTGCTATGAATTTCATTTGTGAAGCAGCAATGACTTAATGAATGCTACTTAACAATCTGGAATATTTTCGCCAAAGTTCTTAACATTATCTTTGAATAAATGAGAAACTAAAACTGTTGAAACTTTTGCAATGTGCAATACTACTTCCTACACTTTTGTCCTAAGGCATGTCAGAATGTTCTGGGCATGGATTTGCTGTATAATCAATTCTAACAATTATATTTACTACCTTTCACATATAGTACTTAGTTGTACTTCTAAGTTGCCTTGACTAATTGGTGATGCTTCACTATTGACTGTTTAAAATTTTGTGCAGTTCCTAAGAA